TTAAAAAGAAAAGAAAAAGCAATAGAAAGTAGAATTGTGGTTGCCAGGACAAGGAAAGGAAGCATGGAGAGCTGTTGTTTAATGGCTCTAGAGTTTCCATTTTGAATGATGAAAAGAGTTCTAGAAATAGGTGATGGTGATGTGAATTTCTTTAATATCACTGAACCGCACAGTTAAAAATAGTTAGGATGGTAGCTTAGCAAACACATGCCTGTAATCTTAGAACTCTGGGGGACTGAGGCAGGCATACCACAAATTTGAGCCTGGCCTGGATAACTGAGCAACTTAGGGAGGAACTGTCTCAAAATAAAAAAAGGCTGGGCCGGGCTGGGGATGTAGCTCAGGGGTTTCACCGCCTGCTGCGCAAGCACAAGGACCTGAGCTCCATCCCCAGTACCAAAAATATAAAAAGGGCTGGGGAGGTACCTCAATGGGAAGGTCCTGGGTGCAAAAAGAAAAAAGAAAAAAAAAGGTTAGGATGGTTTATGTTATTTTATTTTGCCATAGTGAAAAATTGAAAACAGAATAGTACATCAGATACCATGAACACTGCTGCTTGGGATGAAGTTGCTTAGGTAGAAGGTGTCTCAAGCCCTGGCATCCTCAGCTCCCCCATCCCTTGCATTTGTGCTCCACAGTGGTAGGCCCCTCAATGTCTAGGAGGACTGAATCAGTGCCCTGTGAAGTTTGTGCATGTCTGGCAGCATCAGGGGCTCAGGGCTCTAAATCCTGAGGTTCAGAAGCATCCTGTGCATATCTCTGACTTTCACCTGTCAGTCTCAGCGCTGGGCTGTGAGTGCCTCTGGCAGGGTCCTTCTCAGCACCCTGCTTTGGGAAAGGAGTTCTAGATCAGAAAAGCCATGGGCAGAGGGGACCCAGAAAAGTGCAGCTGGTTCTGTGCCGGGCTCCTTCCTCAGGACAATCAAGCAGCCCCATCCTCTCTGCAACCCATCACACGCTGCCAGCAGGCTGTGAGTCTGTGTGCCTGGAACAGTTTTCCCACAGGATCCTGAGCTCCTGGTGGCTGAGGGAACTGGGAACTTTGCCCATCTCCCTGAGTGTCTTCATGGCCAGTGCTTTTAAGTGTCAGATACATGTGATTGTGCCATGTGCCCCCAGGAGCAGCTCCTAACTCGGACACCAGTGGGAGACTGAAGACAAGCCCCTCCCAGGGGGCATTTCCCACTCTGTGCTCTGCAAACTGTCCCACAGATCTCATGCACAGAAAGCCTTACAAGTTCCAATCAAGTTGGATTCTTACACTACTTGTACAGTTCACAGTGTCTTCAGCATCTGCTGTGGAAGATGGTAAAAACACTATTAAATAGCTGCTAACATTTGTCAAGGGCTTACTGTGTGCCGGGTGCTACTGCACAGGTCTTACAGATGTGATTTTATTTAATACTCCAACTCCTGAGGCTTATAGAGATGATGGCAACTTGCTCAAAGTCTGGGCTTTCCAGAAGAGACCATGGGGAGTAGATAAAGGCAGAAAGCAGGGAATTAACTACCGATCTTCCCACTTGACATGGGGCCGTGCTTTTTAAGCCTTAAAGGGCATATCATCACCTGGGAATCTTGATAAGAGGCAAAGGTTGGCTCAGTCGGTCTCTGAGGGGGCCTGGGTTGTGGCCTTTCTAACAGCAGTGAGCTGCAGCTGCTGGGATGCAGACCTGGCTGCAAGTGGGGAGAGGCTCATGCACCTGTGTGTTTCCTCTTGCTCTTGGGATGGAACTCATTCATTCAACCACTCACTCGGTGGCCACCATCTTCAGAAGCCATCTAGTAGTGCAAAGCACCATCTGTGGCGTTCCAAGTTCCAGTTCTGCTTCTGCACTTTCCTCCACGGCTGACTTCTCAGAGCCTCAGCTGCCCACTCAGTAAAATGGGAACAAAGCTTGCATTTTGTAGCCTCATCTTTGCATCTTTTGCCATAAAATGCAGCAAGACTCTGCAGCATAGCACAGGCCTGGAGCATAGTGCTCGCTCAATAAATGGCTATGATTTGGGAGCTTATTTTATTACTCTTATTTACACATTTCAACCAAGATTCCCATAAGTTTGAGCATTTATTTATTTATTTATAGCATTTATTTATTTATTACTTATTTCAGCGATGATTTCCTCATGGCCCTGGTGGTTGTAGTCCTGGTTGCTGGTTCCCAGTTACCATCCGGAGGGTGAGGAAGTGCCACCCACTGAGATGTGACTTCAAATCAGTCAGCAGAAGGTAGAGGGAAACTGATACAGAGACAGGTCCCAGGGATGAGCTTGGCACAGGATTCTGCCCGAGAGGAGTGAGAAATATGTGTAAGGGGAAGAGAGCTAGCAGATGAGACTGGAATAGGGTAAAGTGTCAACAGATCACAAGCTGTTAATTATCTGCAGAGAACTAAATATTATGTAGGCAATTATCGACAAGCGTCTGAAAGCAACAATGGGAGAATTGGTCCCCAGCCGAATTCTAGCTCCTTTCCAAGAAGGGCTGGGGAGACAGACTTTAGCATTCAGAGCAGGCATTTTTATACTCAGGGAGAGCGAGGGGCCCAGGGCTCCCAGGGAGACAGGGTGGGCAGGGGTCCCCTTGCCCCACCCGTCCAGCTAACCCAACCAAGCACACAGCACTTTGCTTTGAAAGGGGCTTTGTCCTGGGCTCCAGGCCTGGAAACTGCAGCCCCTCCTCCCCCCCCCCCAAGATGTCATCTTTTGAGATGATTTCATGTGGAAGCATCGCTAAGTAAATTCGCTAAATGCCTATTCATCCTCGTCAGATGGGGACTCAGTGAAGCGTCAAATGTGAAAATAGCCCCAGCTCAAGGCCCTGAATGATACTTTCTAGGGTTGCCAAATGGAGCCACAGGGCTGACCCTGGGAGGCCTGAGCTTCACAGAGTGGGCCCAGGAGCCCGGCCCAGGCCCTGCAATCCTCCCCCCGAGGCTGCCTGAGAGGCCCCTGTTTATTATTCCTGCTGCTGGGCTGCATTCAGAGGTTAACGTGTCCTGTATTCATCAGGACGACAATAATGAACTGTCCCAGTGAGTGCGCAGGGGTTGGTGAGTCAGAGCTGTGGAGATGCCCAGAAGGGAGCCGGCTCTATGGCTAGGAAAGAACCGTGGCTTGGCCTTTTAATGGTCTGATTTCATTGCCACTGCTTTCAGCGCTCCTTAAAGACCCTCTTTCTGCAGGCCATGGGTATCCAGAGGTGGACTCTACCCAGCGGGCATGGTGGGCGTGGTCCCCACGGGGAGGCCTCACCCTGCAGACTCGTGGGCTTGGCCTTTGCGTGTGTCCCCAGGATTCACCTCCGGGCAGAGCCGTGCAGAATACCGCCCAGCTTTTGCATGTGTGATGGGTTTACCTCACTGCAGACGAACAGGGTCCTTCTGGCATCTGCTGCCGCCAGGAGCACCCGCTTTGGCTTGGTGTTTATCTCCGTAATAGGATGGGACATCAGCCGAGCTCATTTTCACTGCAACATCGCTTAACTGCTTGTGTCACCCCCTCCCACCAGAATTATGAGTTGGTCAGCTTGAGCCGACTGTCCAATGAGAAACAGGGGCTCCAGTGGTGAGACTGCAGAGTCGCAGGGAAGTGAAGGAGGGGGCCAGAGAGCAGGCAGACAGAGCGCCAGCAACATGCACCTACTAAGCACCTACTGTGTGCCCTATGAATCCACACAGTTGCTCCTTCGGTACACGTGCATGGAAGAGCTACTGTGTATGTGCATGGTTTGTTTAACTAACAGGGAAGTTCGGAGAAGGGCCCCCTTCAGAGAGGGCACATGGCACTGTTAGGCACACAGCAACTTTAGCAGCTGGCATCTGTTTCCAGGTCTTTCTGTATCTGGACCCCAGGCCCCACTGTAAGGTGCCATCCTGCTCTTTGCTTCTCAGAGATCCAGCCTCCTTTATATTCCCAGAGATGGTCTTCACCACCCCACCCCCTGCTCAGCTTCTCCCTGTTTGCAGCAAGGGTTAACCCTTTCCTGCTGAGGAAACCTCCCCAGGCAAAGGAGCTCGGTGATAAAGGAGCTGTCACATCAGCACTGGTTACCTGCTTGGGTTTATGCAGCGGAAGAAGGACTGCCTTGCTGGCAGATGGAGGCCCGTGTGACTGCCTTTAAAACACTGTCACAGCTGTATGCACAAGCTGATTAGCTGTGACTGCGCTGCTAGTGCCGAGATTGATAGCGATAAATTTGGGATAACAATGCCGGGAACGATGTCATCGTTTGCTTTGCACTTCGTATTTTTTTAAAGCTCTCTCAATCGGTAGCCCTGTGGTTACTGAGGACTTGGTAGTCACTCATTCACAGATTCATTCATTGCTCAGACTGCGCTTGAAGGGTCAGTTCAAACTCAACTCACTTTGAGTCCATTCATTTAGTCAGCACACATTAACACAGCTCCTGTTGTGTGCCACTGAACAAATGCAACTGGCTGTGTTCTCATGGAGCTCACACTAGGACATAAGCAAGTGCATTCTGGCGGTGATAAAACAGTGACGTAAACAGAGTGATGCGATGGGGGGCTGCTGCTTTAGAAAAAGCCTCTCTGAAGAGGTGACATTGGAAAGGAGACCCAGATACAAGGGCACGCAAGCAAAGGGAAGATACGGGGAAAATCCCCAGGCACAGTTAGTGCAAGGGACCTGAGCTGGTTCTGTTTGGCACTGGGTTACTTTATGACCTTCTGTTCACCAAGCCCTGCTAGATACTGGAGATTCTGAAATGTGTAAAATGCTATGTTTGTCCTCAAAGTGTTCCCGGGGCAGTGGAGTAGATGGGAGAGAAATACACCAACAGTCTGCTTTCATGTAATGGGGAAGGCTCAGGGGTGGGGAGAACCATGAAGAAGATGCCTTCGCTGTGTGGTGGTGATCAGGAAAGGCAAGGGAAGCAGAATCACACCAAGGGCAAATCCTGGCTTCTGTGGCAAAGTTGGGAGCTAAGATGTGCAGTCTCCATGGCCTCTCACCCTCCTCTCTGTTTGTTCCTGCAGGACGAACGACCAGCTGGTAGCCTTTCTCTCCCGATACCGAGATATGAATTTCTTGAAGTCACACGGCCGGGATAATGCAAGGTAACATTTCATTCCCCTCCCCTGTGCAAAACAGAAATGGAAAAACTGAGCGGTGAGTGGGGAGCTTCCTTCTAGGCCAATTCTATGCAACCAGAGAGTGAGAGGAAGGCACAAGGCAGGACTTGGCTGTCTGCATGAGGATCTGAATGGCCTCTCCTAGCACCCAAGACCAGAGAAGTAAGTAAATGCTTCTCACAGTGTTATAGCCCTGTATCTCCCCCGACCCCAGGCACTTTCTTGAGTCCATTATCTCAGTAGGGCAGCCCTTTGATTAAAGCAGCCATGGTTTAATTCCCATTTTGTTGGTGGGGAAACAGGGCTCCACCGTCAAGGAGATAGCCCTAGAGCATTCCACGAGCCAGTCATTCAACAAATATTCATCAAGTACTAACTGCATGCCAGGCCCTGTTCTAGTGGTGAGCAGGACCCACTGCAGGCTCTCCGGGAATTTCCTTTCCAGTGGAGGGGATCAGCATTGAATTGAACTCAGTGGTCTGACACCCCCGGCCTCCCCATTCCCTCTCACTGCTGTCCAAGATGTCAGCAAGGGTTGGAGGCACCTGAAACCTCCAACTGGATCCTCAACACCTCTCTCCCTCCACATGAACGACGTCAAAAAATAGCAGCTCCTCCTGGCAGAGGTTAGCTGAAGGTAATACGGTCATGAGCGCCCCCTGTAGGAGGGATCTGAGTTCGCCCACTGCACCCCACACACCCGGCAGCTCGTGGGATCATTGTTAATCAGCTGGGTTTCGCCCCTTGTTCTAGTTCCCTTTTTTATTTGAAAATTAGTAGCCCAATTTAAAGACAGAAGTATTTCCCAAGAAAATCCAGACTTCCCGCTAGCCTTGAAGTCTGAAGATCTGCAGTACTGTGCCTGTGTTTTCCACTGGCGCAGTCACGTGGATCTTAGACAAAGTCCACCTTCGCTAAGTCACCATGGTCCTCACCTGTCCCCTTCCCAACCTTCAGCATATCCATTTGAAATCTGTGCTTTAGGTTTTCTCTGCCATTGATGGAGAAAGTGTTGCTTTGGCTGGTTCTGTGACTCCATTTACCTAGGAGTCCTAAGGGAGGGACAACAGCAAGCAGTGAGTTGCATTTCCCAAGCTTTTGACAGGCCATCCCCTAATCCTTGCATTGTATCATTTTCCTAAATTGTACCTTTGATTTTATCCAGCTGACTGATAGATTGGCCTTGCCCAGCTCCTGGACTAGCTTCATCACATTTTAAAAGAGCTTTTGGAATTGAAGGTGTTCTGTGAATTAGCACAGATTAGTGTAGTATGTTCAGACCATGAAGGGTGGAAAAGCTGACTGGACAAATTGGAAGAATCACACTGTTTTCCTACTAAGTGCCCATTGCTCTGCTAGCCCCTTGGCCCATTTCCTACAGGATCTAGTTTCATTCAGTGGAGTGATAATATTTGTTATCCCAGGGCTGAGGGTATAGCTCAGTGGTAGAGCACTTGCTTAGCATGCCTGAGGCCTTTGAGGAGCATTGGGGAGACCAAAATAATTTTCCCTAAGGCCATACAGTTGGTTAAATACTAGAATTTTAATCTGCGTCTTTCTGGCTCCAAAGCCATAGGATCAAGGTAGGAAAGGGCACAATTCTGTGGAGACAGTTGTCGGAGTAACCGTGATATTAATGTTCTCCTCTTTTATTTTATTTTTACTTTTATTTTTTTTCCAGTACCAGGAATCAAACTCAGGACTTTGCACTTGCCAGGCAGGCATGACACCACTGAGCTAAATCCCCAGCCCATCCCCTCCTTTGGGTAGAGAATGAAAACCCTTCCTCCCTTCCACAAAGCCGATAGTTTGTGATTGTGGAGTCAAAGCTGCATCCTGGGAAAAGGGCCCATTGAAAATTTATGAACCCATGGCTGACTTCCCTCCACCTTGGTGCTACAGTTTCCAACTCTTCAGACTTTATTCTCTATGCACTGTCTGCAAGGAACTCTGCCGGGAACTACATGTAGCACAGGTTAAAATAATGGGCTTAGAGATTCCACCTCCTGGGTCACAATCCTTACGTACTGTGTCCTAGCTGTGTAGCTTTAGATGGGTAACTTAACCTTTTTGAGCTTGTTCCCTTTGTACAAATGGAAATATCAATAAACCTACATTTGTGATGTTTGGAGAATTAAATGAGTTGCCAGCTATGACATACTTGGCACAGTAAATACCCATGATGATGATGTCAATGATGATATCACCAGCATGATAACCATAGAACTAAAATGCTGCTGGTAGGTGTAGAAATAGGTGGTGTGTGGGGCACAATTGTGCCTCTGGGCGTGTGAATGGGTCCTGTATAACTGACACACATCTGCAGTGGGCAGGTGGCACCTAAATGGCATGGGGTAGGGGAAAGGTGCAGGCTGAGGAGATGTTGTCTGTGCCTGCATCTGTAAACCCTAAAACCCAAAGCTCTCTGAACAGAATTACTCGTAAGCTCCAGTCCTCACTCATGAGTCCTCAGCTGGGATTCTCTCCTTCACATGGACTGAGGCAGTGATGTTTAGGATTAATTTAATAGGAAACTGAGCCAACATGCTATCATACGCTGCTCCCTCCTTTTTGTTAGCTGAGGCCTAACTTGTTGTGTAAGCAAGGTCACCCATTACCTCTCTGCCACTGTCTCTCCCAAGTGCAGATCTGGGTCTAACTTAGCTATGGTTCCCTGACTGATGATGCACTAGAAAGAATTGTTTGGGTGGGAAATGGAACAAATCCAGTTCCTACTAGCTCCTGGGTAAGGAACTTATTGGATCAGGTAAGTGAAGCACTGTTTCTGACTTCAGGTGTGGCTGGATCAAGCAGCTCAGATGATAGGAACAAGCCCAGACTCCCGATGATGATGATGATGATGATGTTGATTGTGCTGCTGGAGGTGATCGTTTAATTCTGTGCCTCCAGGTGGGGACTGTTGGCAACTTAATAAGTCACCTCATTTTACAGATAAAGAAACTGAGACTCAGAGAGACGAAGTCCCTTGGTTAAGCTCACACAGCTAGGGCAGGGCTGGGACTGAGGCCCATGTGAGTGAGGCCAGAGTTTAAGCTCATAATTCCTGCCTGATATGCTCTCTCTGTGTGTGAGCCCTGCTTTCCTCCACAGTGCTGGATGGTTTGGGGGCAGCTGCTTTGCTTCTCTGAGCTTCATTTTCTCCCCTTGAGAAACAACTCAGTTGAACAAAATAGTCCCCAAAGTCCCCTCCCATGCTGATGCTCCATACCTTGGGACCAGCCCCTGTAAGAAGAGGTGACAAAGGCAGAGATCTTACAAAACAAAAGATGAGGAGGGATAAAGGCAAGCAGTGGGACACAGACTGGGCCACATGGTGCCTAATGGCAGCATTGGCCTTCTGTCTCCATCTTCAGCCGCTAGCAGCCAATCTGGACTCCAGCTCCCACTGAGCAAAGATGGCATAAAGTAAACTAGGGTTTTAATAGCTGCCAAATTGGTCCTGGCTGTTCCTGTAATTAAATGAAGGACGGTGTTGTGTTCACTGTTTCTCTTTGCTTCCCCTAAAAAAATAATATTAAATGACATTTAGCACAATCGTGGTTTCCCAGGTGGTCTCGGTGGGGATGGGGAAGGGTATGCCCCGCAGTTGCCCTCAGCCTCAGTAGTGGAGTCTATGAAAACATCCCCAGAGCTTCCTGCCTGTGCTGAAGAGCATCAGATGAGAGTCTCAAATCTCTGCAGTCTGCTCAGGTCTCAGTGTGTGGGGACCAGTCTCCTACAGGGAGATGGAAAGGAGAAATTTGTTCTCTCAGGCAGAAGAATTTTCTCTGAGGCATTTCCTGCTTGCTCCATCTGATTCTTCCACCTCCATCAGGGCCGCTGGGACCCCGTGTTTAGTGCTGGGACAGTGGCTATGGTGGTCACACCATGAGGCCAGGGTCTGACCACCAGTGTCAGAATGCCAGCTCCACCACAGCATCTGCAGGACCTCAGCACTGGCTTTGAAAGCTGCACTTCTGTCTCCCCACCTTTACAGAACCCAGACAGCAGTCATGGGATGCAGGGAACTGAGTGTTTTCACTGACCCTGGGAAGGCCACTGAGCTGGATGCTTTCGAGCGTATTATGTGATTTCAACCTCACCTGGCACCTGTTATCCTGTTGTAGAGATGAGTACAACTGAGGTTTGGAGATTTGCTTTAACTCGCTCAAGACCCCGCAGGTAGTGAACAGCAGAGTCGGGACTGAATCTGGTTCTCTTTGACTTTAAGGCCCATGTTCTTTCATCACCCTATGATAAGTGACTGCATTTGAGAGGCCTGCTGCTTTAAGTTCTTGGCAAATATAAATGAAAGAGAAAAATCCTGCTAGCTTGAAAGAGAATCATTTTATGTGGGTGAGGACAGGTCTTTCTCCACTTCCTAGAATGCATTTCCTAAAGTGAGTTTATGATCTACCGGTGAAATTCTTTTGGTTCATTTAGAAGGTGGCATAATATGAAAGTTAATATTGATCTTTTATACATCCACAAAATTTCATAAAATTAGTCCATCTAGCCCTTGATTTTGTGGCTATTATGCTTATATTATAGCTAAATTTTTAAAAGAACAAATATTTAAAGTTGGCTTGAAGAAAAATAGCAAGGAGATGCTTATATAGATGCCATGTAAAGCACATAGAAAAGTTAAGAGTCCAGACTGTCAGGATCCACGTGGTGGCTCTGAGCACTCCCTGTGTGTGACTTGGGGACATTGCACCAATGATCTTTGTATCCGTTTCCTCCCCTGTAAAATGGGAATGACAACAGTCCTGCCAAGAGTTGTTCCAAGAAGTAGTTGAGTCAGTATCAGCCTTTGGAAGAGTTGACTATGCATAGGAAGCAGAAGATGATGGGAAGGACCTTGGAAGGCAATGGATGGGTGACTACAGCCCTTAGAGGAGCAGCCAGGCTCCCCAGTGTGAGAGCCTGGCCAGGTCAGAGATTGGATAGGTTCCAGCTCCATCCAGGTCAAGGTGCCATAGAGA